TAGGTAGAGAGACATAACATCTATCTGTGTATACATTTAAATTAAGGAATTCCCTTTCCTCGACTTCATACCTGTGTAGATTTGATGAATGCTATTTCTTTTCCATTTGGTCTCTATAATCTCAGAGACTTTGCTTTATGTTTCATATATTAAGAAAAGAAAAAAAAAAGAGCAAAGAGCAAGAGATAGCTTCCAGCTTGAGGTGGGCAGGTTCACAGCTTGGAGACCCCCAGGGAAACTTTAGCTCTGCCCTGTTCTTCAAACGGGAATGATATCTTATTACTGACCCAGAAATGTCACATGGGACCTGCAGTGAGAGCACGTAGCCACAACCTGCCAAGCTTGTGACCACTCCTGCAAAAACTGACCAGACATGCATGCCATACAGACAAGAAGTCGTTGGCATCAGCCTGCCTACCAAGAACCAACCCTTACAAAATCAGGCTGTTCTACTAAGTGAAACTGAAATTGAATTCAATGCAATTTGAAAATATTCTGTTTACTTAAAGCCCAGAAGCCTGCTGTGTGAAGAAGAATCCAGGGACAGGAGATGGTAGTTAAATTTGTACATTTTTCTTTCTCTTGCAATTTTATCTTTTCCGAGCAATTTAATGAAGACTCCAGAGAAAAGAATTAAATGTCTGCTGGTTCAATTACCAAATAATGAAAAGGTCGAAAGGAGCACCATGCACAGTGTGCTGAGCCGCTAGATCAGCCTATTCTTAGAGTAAAATTCTTTTCCGTGCTGTTCACAGTTGCATTTCGCCACCCACAAACTGTACAGATGAGTGTTGGTGTGAGAAGCAAAAACCACGAGCTGGTACAGATCGTCCTCCACAAGGTGAAAGGGCTTTGGCCCCTAGAGAGCATCTCATGACACCCACGCAGGAGCCACGGGCAGAGTAGAGGCCATGGATTTCAGGAGGGACTAGCCTGTTGTTAAATACACACTTTGAGAAGATTCTAATCATCCTTGGCGCTGAATACATTTTTAACCAGCCTGTTCTTAGGACTACATGTAGGGGAAGCCTCAGAAGCAAAACAGACTTGTGAGCAAGAATTTCAAGGGCTCCCACCAGTCCCTGACAGCATTTGGAAAGCCACCCCTGTCCCCAACCTGCCTCAGTTGTACACACATATCCTCTACAGAAGCTGAAGCCAAAGATAAACTGTGGTGCTTTGGAATTCATTAGAACTCTGGTTTTAATGCTCTAAAAATCAAGCCTCCGGGAGGCTGAGGCAGGAGAATTGCTTGAACCCGGGAGTCAGAGGTTGCAGTGAGCCAAGACCATGCCACTGCACTCCAGCCTGGGTGAAAGAGAGAGAATCCATCTCGAAAAAAAAATCAAGTGTTTTTGAAATACAATGTAAGGGAGGGAAGGCAGTTAAGTATAGACTTCTCTCACCTCAGCACCATGGTGACAGTCTCCCTGCTCATGCTGGGACCTCCCCAAACACCTGTTAACAGCAGCACTGAAAGACTCAACAAGCAAGTCATTGTATAGCTTCTTTTTCAGCTTTAAATGAAGTTCTCTTTTGGTTTATATAAGATAAAAGCCTCAGTTTTAGAAAATACACACTAAAATGCTTAATGATAAAGGGCTATGGCTATGATATATATAACTGACCCACAGAAAAAGTCTGTGTCTCTGTATCTCTGGACATATATGTGTTGTGTGTGTGTATATATATATATACACACACATATATATACATACATATATACACACAACACATGTATGTTTATTCCTATAAATACATGTGCTGACATGTGTATACACACGTGTGTTTTCATATATATTCATATTCATATATGTATGCATGTTCTTAAACATGTGTGATCATATACACATGTGTTCATATACATATGTGTATACATATTAATATTAATGTACATTTACATGGGGTGGGAAGGCAAACTAGAAAAAAATGATAAAGCCAACAGTGTGAAATGCAAACGCTAGGTGAATCTAGGGAAAGGGAATTTGACTAGTCTTTGAACTGTTTTTATTTATGTATTTGCTTATTAGAGATAGGGATTTGCTATGTTGCTGAGGCTGGAGTACAGTGGCTATTCACAGGCACGATCACAGTGTAGCTGCAATTGCTACGACTAGAGACAGGATTATGGCTCAGGAAGGTGACAATATCTCTAACTAACTTCTGCTTTTTTCCTTAAAGTACTATATCCAAAGATTTTAGATGTTTAAGGTTGTAAAAGTAAATAAAGTATCCCAAACCACTTTAAAATATATGAAAAACAAACTCTATGAAATAAACTCCCAAATTATTTATGCCACTCTTTTATTTTATTTTTTGGTCTCTTGTGTAAGATACAACAGGATCAATACCTTATTAAAAATCAAAGCTCTTTGAATATAGGAAGAGACCTTGATTATTACTGTTTCTCCCACATTACCCAACAACATAATTGTAGAAGGCAATTGAGCAAAGATATGAATAAATGAAAAAGCAGCACCCAAAACAAAGTTCTAAACACAACCCCTCACCTTAAAAATTTATTTTAAAATCTACTAATATCTAAGCAGAGGCATTTTTATCTGTGGAGTTCTCACTCTATATTTTTATCCTCCTCTTCTCTATTCTTTTTTAGACTTCTATATCCAAAGCTTCCTAGGGACATTAGGAAAGAGAAAAGGTAAGGTACAAAATGGAAGAAGGTATCTGCCACATACATAACTGATATAGGATTAATACCTGGAACATAGAATTCATTCCTACAAATAAACTAGAATTAGACAAACAATTCAAAAGAAAAATTGTCAAAAACCTGAGTAGGCATTTTATAGAATAGAAAGCACAAAAGGCCAAAATACTTGCAAATATGTTCAAAGTCACTAGTAAGTGGAAAAAACAAATTAAAACCACAAAGATCCTGTCATAACCACTAGATTGGCAAAAATTTCAAAGTCTGACATTATCGAAGTGCTGACAAAGACACAGACAATGGTACACATATACTGCTGGAGGGAATAAAAGTGGGCACAACCACTTTGGAAAACAATTTGGCGTTATGTATAGCAAAGTCAAAGGTATGCACACCCTATGACCCAACAATTCCACTCCTGAGAATGCCTGAGAAACTTCAGCAAAGACGCAGTGGAGACTGTGCAAAAATATTCATAATAATCCTTTTATAATGGAAGCCACCCAAAGTCTGCCAACAGGACTAACGATTTGAAGCATATCGTACCATGAGACACTCTACATTGTTTGTACATTGAAAATTGTATAAACAACAGCTGTATGCATCAACAAAGATGGCCTTCAGGAACACAATATTGGGTGAAAAGAAAAGCAAATTGCAGGAAAATGCATACGTTATGAGTCCATTCCTGGAAAGTTCACAAATGATGTTTTTAGGAATAGAAACGTGGTAAAAGTGTAAAGAACAGGAGAATGATAAACAAAAATCCACAGTAGTAACTATCTCTGTTCAGGGCAAAAAAGGGATGTGATCAGGACAAGGCACATGGGCTTTTAAAGAAAATGCTAATGGTCTACTTCTTAAAAGGGGAAGTAGACACACATTCATTGTATTGTTACACTGAACACAATATATATTTACAAATATTATGTGGTACATAGTCAATATTTAATAAAAAAGACATTTAAGAATTGGTAAAGAAAGAAATAATTGAAAATATTTGCTTCAGGACTTGCTGGAAGAAGAAAAGAGAATAAAACCAGCTACCCACCCATTAGGCTCTGACAATATTTCCCTCCAAACATGCCAGAGTTGTCTACTTGTCTCTTGTCCTCTTTGCTCACTTATGCCAAAACCAGCTATCACTCAGAGGTACCACTTGTCCGGGGCTGGAAGAGGGCTTCATGATGCTCATCTGAAGCAGCAGCCAAGCTTTCTCTCTATCTGTCATCCTACCCCTCATTAAAATTCAGGCCTCCTCCAGGTATGAATGACAAGCACATTACTCTGTTCACATGGGTGCACACATATCCAATTTCTGCAGTTTGATTGGGTTATTACATCCAAATATTACTGAAAGCCATTATTACCTGAATTTTGACTTTGACTTATTTTATAATATTTGTACACATTTCACAATGATAATAGAGCACGACACTTAAAACAAATTATCTCCCTGTCCTCCAATCAGAAACTGAAATCTTAAAAAGTACCTCGAAACACAGACACCTGTCTATTCCTCTGATTACAGCTATGTAGCAACAGCCCCTTAAACCAAAAGTAAAATTTAAAGTGAGTGGTGCAGCTACTGTCATTACAGTACTTAAAAAGAAAAAAAAATAAACTTAGCTGCAGTGAAACATTTCTCCTCACCCGGATAATTAAAGATAAAAAAACATTCATGTCTCCCTTCCTCTGCCCCCAGCTCCATCTGCCACCCAGTGGAGGGGAAGGGAGAAGGTTTTGCTACAATTTCAGTATCAGTGACATTTTTTAAAAAATTAGTTGTTTCATATCAATCACTACAGGGAAATCAGGCTTGATTGGCAGAAACACTCCAATAGAGCAAAAATTAGAGACTGGTTTCATTAGTCCATTTTCACATTTCTGGTAAAGACATATCTAAGACTGGGTAATTTATAAAGAGAAGCTTAATGGACTTAGTTCCATGTAGCTGGGAATGCCTCACAATCATGGTGGAAGGTGAAAGGAATATCTTACATGGCAGCAGACAAGAGAGAATGAGATCCAAGAAAAAGGGGTTTCTCCTTATAAAACCATCAGATCTTGTGAGACTTATTCACTGCCATGAGAACAGCATAGGTGGAATTGCTCCCATGATTCAACTATCTCCCACTGGGTGCCTCCCATAACACATGGCAATAAAGGGAACTACAGTTCACGATGAGATTGGGGTGGAGACACAGCCAAGCCATATTACTGGTTAAAAAAATTATTCCAAATGACCTGCTTGGAAGACTCCATCACTGGGTAACCCTGAAGTATACTAAAGACCTACTTAGTAACTACCTTAAATAATACAACCACTTACCTCAACATACCATGCTACTGAATTGGCTTCAACTGTATAAACTCTCCTAGCTCCAGCCTGTACAGCAAAAAATGACAGGATTCCTGATCCACAACCAACGTCTAGAACAATCTGAAAGGAAAGAAGACAAAAAACGCGTGAAAACACAAACAAGTATTAAAATACTAACTTTAATGTTTCTAGTGGTCTTACCTTGGCAAGGTTATGTAAGACTTGTTTTTCTTACATGTTAAATGGGGTTAATAACAACTACTCTTAGAGTTGGATGTAGAGATTAAACAATATGAAAGTATGCAAAGCATTTGGCACATAATTGGTGTTTCACAAATTATTGCTATTATTATGGTTCCTTTGTAACATGGATTGTTTTGAGGATGCTTAGGGCCAAGAGAAGTAGTGTCAGAAATGAGCTTGCTCCACCAATTCTATCAGCAGAAGCAAAAGAAAACGGTGGCTAGCAATTTTTGGAATGATATACCTATGTTTAGAAATCACTGAAGATAACTTGAAAAATTCAAAAGTGAGTCGTGTGCATTTTCACCAGGCCCCCTCCATCAAACTGGGGAGGTGTCTATGAAGGGTGGGAGCAGATGAAGGTAGTGGAGTGATGAAATTTTTCTTCCACTCTCTGTGTTCAGACATGGATCTTAGATCAAGAAAGCCACCATTCTGGCATAAAGAGGCCAATTCATAACCCTGCGTGCAAGGGGTGGGTGGTATGTGGTCAGCCCCTTTCCCCAGGCACTGCTGGAGCTAAGGCCTGAATCTCAGCCTGATTACTGAAATTTCAAGTTACTATATTTCTGTCTCATTGATGCCCTTTAGTCTCAGCATCTTTTGGCACTAGCTTTGAACAAGACATTTTACTTGGCTTTACCTCCTCACAATAACAATATGAGTAGACAACATTATTATGTCCACTTAATAGGTTAAAAAAAAAACCCTGAAATTCAGAGATATTGAACAACCACCTCAAGTTCAGCTGGCACTAAGTAGGGAGGCTAAGGGTTGACTCTGAACATGTCTGCCTTCATGCTCATGTTTTGTATTCTCATACATTGCTTACTGACATTCGTCCTCTATAAAACTGACATTTCAACACAGCAATAGCAATAGACAATGGTTGACAAGGAAACAAAATAGTATGTTTTGTTGGAAAACTTACAAAAGTTAAAAAAATTTATAGCAGGAAAAATTTGCCAAAAACCAGGAAATATTAAGAAGTGTGTGCGTGTGTGTGCGCGTACATTTTAACTGCAATATCACACTGTGATGACACAGATACTGTGCCATTATTCTAAGAGAACATGCTGTTAGTAATGGGTTCACAGTGCTCACTTATATTAATCTAGAGCTGTGGCTGTATTCCATACGGTTTCCTAGGGTTTGGGTAATTAGGAGCATTACCAATTTAAAATGTCACCCAGATTCCAAAATTGGCTATCAGGCTGTCTATACTTTTAGAAATATCAGTGTTCTCTTTTCCTCATCCTCCCCAGGAAATACATCATCTTCATGTGGCCATGGTCTGTTGCAAGAACACTCACAACTGCAATTTAAGGAACGGAGGCTGTTAAGTTAGAGAATGCAATCCATGGTCCCAAAGAAAAATGCACTACATTCAGAAGAAACTTTCAAGAACCTTCTTCGATTAAAAATACAACACCCTAGGTTTCAAGTTCAGCCCAAGGTATGGATGCAAAGTTAAGAGACAATGGAAATTACATCTGGGAACAGGTGACCTAGAAATGTTAAATGGAGTTCTTTATCTGAGAAAAAGTGACAGAGATGGGAGGGAGCCTTATGTGGTTAGGCTTTTGGAAAATGGGTCCATTTGGTAGAAGGATACATTAACAGACCCAATCCATATCTAGAGAAGTAGTTACAAATTATAAGCTGAGAAAATTTTCTAAAAATGCAAGCCAAAGTAACTTTAATCATTTGGCTATTTCAAAACAGAGTCTAGACCTTGAAAAAGAATCCAGTCTTTTGTAGCACTGTCCAGATAAGTCCATCTGCTGCCCACTTATGTGGATATTAAAAAATCTTAACAAGTAAATTTTCAGTCATACAATAGCAAGAGACAGTGAGGAAGTACCTACTTTTCCCTTCTCTACATAAACCATGCAACTTTGGAAAACAAAGCCTTGGAGGACCAAGGATAAATTCTATGGGAAAAAAAACTAATAGTCAAAGCAAATATTTAGGCTCCAATGGAAATATACTACCTCAGCCCTTTCCAGCTGTGGTTTCCAAGACTGTGGGAGAACAAAAGTCATTAACACAGGTAATTCCATTATGCCTTCTTACATAGTGCCTTAGGAAGTATTGGAGCAGCCTCTAATTGTATTTATTTGTTCTCATAGAGATGATATTGAGCTCATTTCTTATTCTACCATTGGTAGATCATCACAGAACTGGATATATTTCAGGAACTTGGCAGACATTAAGTTATACTTTCATGCTCTGGGAAAAAATATCTCCCCTCAGGCAGAGGCAAAACAGAGTAACTAAATCCCCTCGTATCTGTAGAGCAGTTTACAGTTTCCAAAGAATGTTTGCCTGACATTATCTATTTGATCCTCATGCCTCTCTGGAATAGAGAGTACATAGTTGTGTGCCCATTTTATTGATAAGCGGAGGCTCAGAGATACCAAGTAGCCAGCCCAAGTAGATAGCATGGCAGAGTTGGGGTGAAAATCCAGTGTTTAGTCTCGCTTTCTTTTTGGGCAGAAAAAAAAAAGAGAAATGAGTGGACTGTGAAGAGACGTAAATCTGACCATATCACAGTTCTAATAGTTCCCCACATCTGGAGGAAAAGGAGAAGGTCTCTCTGGCACGTTGCCCTTAGTCCTGAGCCATTTAGTAATGACTGACCTTTCTGGCCTCTTATTCTGTACCCCTCTCCCTTCTTCCACACACACCCTAGGCTAGGAATCATGTCACTTTATTTCACTCTGTGCTCCCTCATGTGCAATCTCCTGTGGCAGTGGCACCCATCACCCCATACCAAATGTTCGTGCTCTCTCAGAATGCAGCTCCCAGGAAGCAGCTGCCTACCCAAGACTACAGCTCTCCACCCCCTTTCATTTATATGCATGGCAACTGGAATGTGAAGCAAAGTGATGAGGGTCACTTCTGGGCCAAGGAGGTTAAGGGTCCGGCGTACCTTCCCTATATTGAAGATGAAAACAGCCTGAATCTCTGGATCACCACTTTGGGAAGACCCACTCAGAACACACTAGACATAGCATGAGCCAGAAATAAATTTTATTGTGATAAACAGCTGAGATTTGGGGATCGTTTTAGCAGTAGTTGACATCCACTGATCAGTACATTTCCCTTAGATAACATTCTCTCCTCTCATTTTTCTACCTGGGAAACATCCTTCAAGACCAAGCTCAAATCTCATATTGCAGGGATGCGTTCCCTGATTCCCAAGCTGGTGTAGGCTGGGCTCTCTGGCACCCTGCATGTGGCTCTCTAACAGCACTTATCACAGGATATGACAAGTGGTCCTTTACATGGTTGTCTTTCCTGCTTAGCCTGTGAGCTTACCAAAGACAGGAATCACATCATCTCTCAGTACCTAATGAGCACAGTAGGAAATACAAAAACCATTAATAATATTTGTTGCCTAAATGACTGAATGGGATGGCCCAAGATAGCAGTCTTTTAATTCCTGCATCGCTTTGAAATACCTTTGGAAAAGGCCTGTGTCTTTTGTCTGCCATTTGGACTCTGGGAATGCTCTTACATCACAAGGCAGCACCCAAAGAGGATGAGCTCAGTATGCCCTTGACTAATTCAAGATTCACAGCCTGTAAGGTTTCATTCAATCTTCCTTCTCTTCTGCAATCAGGCCCGTTTCTTATTTCTTGGCCTCCAGGTCACCCCATGCATCTGACACTTTTCACTCTTGAACTTCATGATCTCCACTCTTCCTTCTCGGCTATGATTGGAACATGATCACCCTTCTGCTTTCAGTCTGTGGTCATTTTCTTTTACCTGCTCAGTGACTATTGTGCTGGATATTTTCTATTTGCTTCTCCAGATCTATCCTCCACTCTTCTCATCCTGGTCTTTGGCAGGAGCCTGACCTGTATAGACTGTATCAATGGGCTTCCTCGCCACTGGATTCTAGTTGGGATAAGTCAAGAGAAATGACAACAGGAGATCAGAGGGAGTAAGGACGGTGAAGTCAGATTATTTATTCTTTTGGCTTCCTTTATTCTGTGTCTCCATGGATTGTGACTTTACCAAAAGTCACAGCTCTCGTTGGACTTCTATCTCTTACAGCTCTGATATTCTGTCTGGTTTCTAGTGACTACCCTTAGGTTCAGACATAAGAACAGTTCTACACTCTCGCTGGTAACAGAGGGCTTTACCATCCCTTCTTCATTCTCCTAACCCTGCCTACATCTTTGTAAATAGTCATGTTATTTTTAACTCCAAGAAATACCCTGTGTGATGGTTAATACTGAGTATGAACTTGATTGGACTGAAGGATACAAAGTATTCATCCTGGGTGTGTCTGTGTGGGTGTTGCCAAAAAAGATTAACATTTGAGTCAGTGGGCTGTGAGAGATGGACTCAACCTTAATCGGGTGGCCACAATCAAATCAGCTTCCAGCAAATACAAAGCAGGCAGAAAAACGTGAAAAGGAGAGATGGGCCTAGCCTCCCAGCTTACGTTTTTCTCTCGTGCTAATGATTCCTGCCCTTGGACGTCAGACTCCAAGTTCTTCAGTTTTGGGTCTTGGACTGGCTCTCCTTGATCCTCAGCTTGCAGACAACCTATTGTGGGACCTTGTGATCCTGTAAGTTAATACTGAATAAACTCCCCTGTAGACAGATAGAAACAGATATAGAGATAGATATAGACACAGACAGGGATATATCTCCAATTAGCTCTGTCCCTCTAAGAGAACCCTGACTAACACACTCTCTCATGTGTGCCGTCTCTCTCCTGCAGGGACCCTGGCTGTTAAACCAACTCATCCACAAGGTCACAAAAATCTCCATTGTTCGATCATCAGTGTAAGGAAGGTATGCTGGACCCTTCACCACCTGGCCCAGAACTGACACTCATCACTTTGTCTCACAATCCGTTGGCC